AAAAATAAAATATTTGAAATTAAAAAAATGTTAGTGGCTCTTTAAAACCAGGGAAAATTGTAACTTTTGGCTCTTCCGCTTCAAAAGGTTGCCGACCCCTGTACCAAAATGATTTGAGCCTTTAGCAGAAACCCAGCCAAGTCCACTTTCCTATGCTTTTTTAATTGCAATGTCTGTGCACAAATTTTCCAACCACTGGTCCTAGCACATTATTTCCATCTACAAATGCAGTTGCCGCTGTTTCCTTGACTATCTCAGGTTCCTTGTCACAGACACACATCTTGGCCTCAATGTCTTTCACATACATGTCCAGCCTGTCGAGTCCATGACTGTACTGACCTCTGTAGTCTGCAGCCACCAGAAGGTCAGCCAAGGCACTGGCGTGGTCCGGTTTTGTGCCCACTTTGACCATGCACCTGGTACAAAGGCGTGCATCTCTTCACGGGCTACGCCGCTTTCGTTAGACGCCATCTTCAACACGCTCATCAAACGAATGTATTACGTTCTCGTTGTTGTCAGACTAGAAATATTTTACTGTTGCAGTAGCCTATGTGGGCCTATGTAAACACAGATGTGAGGAAAACAGAGAAGTGAGAAGGATTTTCATTTAATTTTTTAAGAAGACAAAACATTGTAAACTAATTTTTACTTTCTTGTTTAAACTTATAGTTATCATTCAAATACAAATGTTATAAAATGTGTACTATTTTGATAAAAGTATTAAAATTATTAATTTATCGTAATAATTATAAAATAATAGTATTGACATAGTGAGAAATTTACCTATTTTAAACTGTTTTAACAGATAATAGCAAAATAATTATAGATTTTTTCCCTTTAGTGAATATTCTATCTTGTAAATTCTTTCAAGGGAGGGAAGTAGAGTTTTTAATGTTATACTAGTTTTAAGTATCCAATCTGCGTAGAGTTTTTTTTTTTTTTTTTTTTTGTTAAAGACATTGAATGAGGTAGGTAACCAATGGGACCCTCCGATTCCAGGGGTTACAAATAATAGAAATTTACTTTCCAGTGGCGTTATAACCATCTCAGTTACCGGTACTAGTGGTTAAAATCTCACAAGAGCATAAGAGTGGTTCTTAACCTTTTGGAGGTACTGAACCCCACCAGAATCATACGGGCATTCACCGAACCCTTCTTAATAGGGAAAAATAAATAAAAAATTCAAATTAAAATCACAGTTATATATTTTACTGGTGCACACAATGAACCTTCCTTTTATTTTCTCCCAGCATATATGCCTTCAACTACCTTCCCAAAAACATCAAACTTGCCATCCTAGCTAAAATAAAAACAGGGCGTGTGATACATTCAAACACTGTAACAACACACGCTACTTCATATAAATATCACATAGGCGTAGCGACGGGGAGGGGGGTACATATGTCCCCGGGCGCCGACCCTAGGGGCGCCAAAATAAACTCATTTTAGCTTCTATTTTGAATTATAAATATTAAAAAATATATGGGGGTGGGGGGGGGGGGGGGGGGGGTGGGCAAATCGAAAGTTTGTCCCCGGGTGCCGGGAGGGGTCGCTACGCCTCTGAAATATCACGACACATCCGATGTGTATCGCGTCATTACAATCCAATGCCAATGGCTACTGGCTTGTCTAGTAGCCTTGATTCTTTTATTTCAACTAATATACTTCCATTAAATAAAAAGATTATATATACTAAAGCAATTATTTTATATAAAATATTCCACGAAACAGCCCCCTCTTACTTATCAGACCTATTTTCTTTTAACATAAAATTAAATCGTCGTCTTAATTTACCGATCCCAAATACAACTTTTTTTCCAAAAACATAGCTTCGCCTACTCTGGTTCGAATTTGTGGAACAATCTTCCTAACAAAATAAAACTATCTAGATCTCTAAATATATTCAAATCTAAACTAAAACAACAATTATTTAATGACCTCTCTAACTGACTCATTGTAACATTTCTCATTCACCTATTATATTCTTATTTTATCTCATCTTGTATTATAACTATGTAATATTATTTCTTTATTCCACATTTTTAGTGCTATGTTACTGCTATGTCGTTACTATGCGATTGCTTTTTTTAAATGCTGTTATTAAATTGTTGTTTTTATTTGTTTATTTTAAAACGGCCAATGTGAAAAAAAGGCCTCCGTGCCTACAATTGGTACTGTAATTGAATAAATAAATGAATATATGAAATAAATCAAAATCTTATGTGATATTGAAAGAAAACGGTGGTGGTTATTGAGCTTGCGGGGAACGGCGTGGTCGAGCGGCAGAGTTATATTTGCCGAATCCAAAAGTCTTGTGTTGGAACCCCCGAGCAGATAAGGGTTTGTTGACTGGGGACAGCAGAGCATCTACAAGAGAGAGCTCGAGAAATCAAACAACGGCTGCTTTGCAGATTTTATCTGGCTAAAGCAAGTCTTGAAAGAAAATATGGCTGTAGTCGTAGTCAATGAACTATATGGTGCATAGCTTGTTTACGTAATACTTAATTGTGATGGAGGAAATCCATTTCCACATTACTCGTAAGCAGAGTTTCTTCCAGGCATCTCTTCGTTCGGGGGGAATTTATATAGAAAATATATACTTTTAACAGTGTCCCCCCCCCCCCCCCACACCGGAAATTTTAGACCGCCTCCCCGAAAATTTCCCCCCGTAGGGGGAAATTTTCTTTATAGGTTTTTTTAAATAGTTTTTAAAAAAATATTTTTCTTTATAGTCTATAATTTATTTTCTACTTTTTAGTGCATTATTACATAAAAGCTTGTTATTAAAACGTTTTTTATGAATTTTTTTTTCAGTACTTTACATGTTTTATTTACAATAGAGTTACATGACTAAAAACCATTGCGCGCTTACTGAACGTGATGGCGCAGCTATTGAACGTGATGACACGTGTGGTGTGGTTGGATAGACATGCCTACTAATTCGGTCCAAAGTTTAATTAATTCATAAAAAATTAATTAGGCATCCATTTAAGTCAAATTTAATGTCACTATGCATTGTCTTCATGTCTTGACCCACGTGCTAGCTGTGAATCGTATCGGTCAAGTAGAAGTGTCCGAATTTTCAGTCCTGCGTTTCGATCTAAACTGACGACAAACTGACGACTGACGACAGAGGAAGCAAGTTAAATAAAAGCTTGTAAAAAAATTTATAACTACCTCGAACAATGTATTCGAATGGTTAAGATAAAGAATTTTGAAATAATTTATATGATATATCTGAACAAAAAACTACTGGTTTTGAAAGAAAAAATTTAACAATCATTTACTTAGAACTTTATAAAATATGAATAGATTTAATGATATTATTTTAATAATTAGTGTGTAGTTTTAATTATAGAATAATTGTCTCGTATTATTTAGTTGCTTGAATGTTTCTTACTAAACAATACAGTAATTAGCAATAAATCATAGTTTATCTCCCTTGGTTTCAACTCTGTTGTATTCTTTCATAGAAGGTAATATTTGAACCCAATAATTACTTGTAAAATATCCAACCTGCTCAGAACAGTGTGTGTGTGTATGTTTGTCTGCATGTATCTGTGTGTCTGTGTGTCTGTGTGTGCCATCGTCTGGGTGTGTGTGTCTGTGTATGTGTGTGTATGTGTGTATGTAAGTCTGTGTGTGTGTCTGTTAGTGTGTTAAAGGCATAGACTGGTGTACATGATCAGACACCAACAGAGACCCTCAAATTACAGGGGTTCCCAAATGTTATGCACTTACACTACTGGGTTAAACTCACCAGAGCATCAGATCTGTTTACACCCTTTTTTTCTGCTCGGCGACTTTCAGCACCTCTGGGGGAGGGGAGGGGGGTGGGGAGCAGCACGACCATCAGACAACAGTCTAGAACAGTCCAGACAGCAACCAGTCTTCCTAACTTTACTATTTTCCGCCATTCGGCATGTTTTGGTATATTTTCACAACCTTTGTGTATATGGGCACGACCTTAGGGTATATGGCCACGACCTTAGGGTATATGGGCATGACGTTAGGGTATATGGGCATGACCTTAGGGTATATGGGCACGACCTTAGGGTATATGGGCACGACCTTAGGGTATATGGGCACGACCTTCGGGTATATGATCACGACCTTAGGGTATATGGGCACGACCTTAGGGTATATGGGCACGACCTAAGGGTATATGGACACGACCTTAGATTATATGGGCACGACCTTAGGGTATATGGGCACGACCTTAGGGTATATGGGCACGACCTTAGAGTATATGGGCACGACCTTAGATCATATGGGCACGACCTTAGGGTATATGGGCACGACCTTAGATTATATGGCCACGACCTTAGGGTATATGGGCACGACCTTAGGGTATATGGGCACGACCTTAGGGTATATGGGCACGACCTTAGGGTATATGGGCACGACCTTAGAGCATGGGTAAATTATCACGCGCTTAGGGTATGTGCTATACCGCGACAGTCCAGCTAGCTCAGAGAGTCAAGTGATAACGCCTGTCCTAGACTTGGATCTTAGGCGTGCTATAGAATCACAGTCACTCTGCTGCCTCTTTAATGCGAACTCAAAAATGAATAACGCATTTATAAAGTATTCAAATTAATTCAAGTTCTAGAAGCTAGTACGTAGAACCTCTCTGAGTCCGCCCAGCTCTGACGGGTACTCGATAAGAAACAAGTCACGGAAAATAAAGACGGCTGAGCATGGCGATAACCTTGCAATCTTTTCATATCTTGAAATCCGTGAACAGAAAGATGCGCAACGGAAAAATGCGCAACGGAAAACTGCTCACAAAAACAGTACGCAAAGGCATTTTTGTTTTCTTAAATCGAGCATTTATAGTAATTTTATAGACATTAACATAAAATGACCACATTTACATTGTTGCCATCAAAACATATTATTTCCACGAAACATAAAAAAAATAGTGTTTAAGTAAATAAGTTTGTATTTGCGCATTTTCCGTATGCGCAGTTTTCCGATTGAAGAACACATTGTACTACTTATTCCTTAAACAAACTCCTGTACGTCGAGGCGAACTTTGAACTCATGGTGACGTAGATGAAGAAGTTGGACGAAGCGTTGAGCTGGTATAGGACACAGATGGCGCTCTGTAGAATATAGAAGACGTTCCCTGACAGCAGAACGGGGATGTTGGCGTACTGCATGAACGTGTAGATGACAGCAGACGGCAGGTAGGCAACGAACGTCACCAGACACACCGCCAACAACATCTTCGCTACTTTAGCTTCCTTGATCTTTTTCGAAGACTTATCCACGTTGGAGTTTTTGATGATTTTTTTCGAGTCCCCGGTTGATAATTTAATAGTGATGGCTGAAGAACAGATGAAAATTATCAAAAGTGGTATTGTTGAGAAAAGGTTGTTGATGAAGGTGCGGGTGTAAAAGTTAAAGGAATCGAAATTCTCGACATAAAATTTGCTGAAGACGACTTTAGCGACGGTGGTGTTGAGTTTAGGATCGTAACCCCAGTCGTGGGTGAGTCGAAAAAACATGGGGGCGAGGAGCCCGAGGGTGGTGATGTAAATCCCGAGGATCAACGTCTTGACGCGCCAGGGGGTGAAGACGCGAGACACGTGTAACGGGAACAAGACCGCGGTGAATCTCTCCACGGCGATGGCGGTCACGTGACATATCCCCATGGCCATGAGGATGTCGACGAGGTTGTAGACGTACGCCGTGACGAACGTCCGGTAGGAGGCGGCGAGGGGCGGGTCGAACTGGGCGACCAGACACTGCAGACGACGGAACGGCTGGAAGAAGGAACACAGGAGGTCGATGACGGAGAGTGACGTCAGCAAGATGGTGGTCGTCTGGGATTGGTCGTGGCGGGACAAGACCAGGATGTTGATCAAGTTTCCCACAAGGCCAATCAGGGACAGGAAGTTGATGGCGAAGCAGTTGAGGAAGATGTCCAGCGCGGTGTATACGTCATTTCCGATGACGTCACTGCTGACCGCTGGGGTTTTCGAAAAAGTCACGGAAAAATTATTTGATGACATTGTTATAGATGTAAACCCACATCAATGATTATAGTTGGTTGAAAGATGTTTTTTGAGATTACATTTACTGGAAATCATAATATGACGTCATTAAAAATAAACCTATTTATAGAGACACGGGAATTCCCGGAAGGAACTCTAAATTGAAGCTAGAAAGAATAGCGTAAATCACGAGTCTGAAAATCTTTGCACCCAACTTGGTAATTATTTCAACTTTTTAATGTAGTGTCCACTAGGTCTTGGTTGGGCTGGATTTTAAAAAAAAAAAAAAACCGAATAGAAATTATCTCAAATGTAAAAAAAAAAAAAACTTTATCTCATATTATTTTATTTAAATTCAATATATTGTTGCTACATCTATTCACATCTGTTATGTATTTCAGACACACAATAAGACAATATATCCAGCGACAAAAAGCTAAAAAAAAAACTAATGAAATTATAGTTTTAAATATTGAATATCTGTTGCTTACATATAATTTGACTTATAATTCAAGATCATCTAATAACCAAAAAAAAAAAAACTGAATATTTTCCACCATGAATGTGATTAAAAAACAATTAACTTTTTTTACAAGACCAAATTATTTTAATAATAGATTATTTCGAATGTAGTAACCAGCTGTATTTAATTTGCGGTTAAAGAAAATGATTATTATTTATGTAATTTATCATAGCTTAGAAAAAAGAATTCGTGTGTTAGAAAAAGAAAAATTGTTTGATCGATGCTAATTGCTTGACTAATTAAAACTTAAACATATGCCTCAGACAAAATATCAGTTTAAACCGTTTCGTAGGTTGTATTTTATTTTAATTATTTTATGAAACTAATGGCTGCCACCCCCTTCCTCCTCCCCCCCCCCCACCACTAATGACATCATCAACAATTTATAACGGATTCATAAAAAATGAAACCTTCCATTGTACCTCCCGCTCTACTCTACCATTCCATCCCCTCCTTGTTTCGCTTCTGTGAAATTAACTTGGCTTGTTTTTATCTGTATCTATAAAAGCAAAGTGGATTCTGCCACGCTGTTTGTTAATCCCACCCTGGATTAGATCAGGTATTTGCAGGCAGGTATCAGAGGAATTTCTCTTGACAAAGTGGACTATTTAACTGGACATCTAATTCAACATCAATAATCGAGTTTTAAGTTACCGAAAACTGACAGACTGATAGAGGTCTTATATAAACTAAATATTTTTCCAAGTGTTTGAATTAGATCGTCCACTTGCAGATGCGATAATAAGTTTATATTTGGTAAGGAGATAGGCCTGGTGCCGTAAGCACCTAGAACAATACCAGATTTTCAACAACAAAAAATAGTATTAAGGGGTTAAATTTGAACCGTTTTATTTTACTTTTATAGGGACTTAACGCCTATTATGCTCGTACATGATACTATTCCAATACTTTAATTTTGTATATTTTAATTGTTATATCTATTATACTCGTACATGATACTATTCCAATACTTTATTTGTGTATATTTTAATTGCTTATTATAAGGTTGATGCTCACCAGAAAAGTGAAAGTATGTTACACGCGATTTTGTGTTCAATGGTTTGAATCTGATGCATATTAGATAAATATGTGTAACAAATGCTTAAAGTCAAACTGATCAATTTACTCAAAAAATTCATTAAAAAAGTTTTTAAAAAAAATTCATAAAAAACGTTTTAATAACAAGCTTTTATGTAATGATGCACTAAAAAGTAGAAAATAAATTATACACTACTATTTAAATTACTATAAAAAAAGCGTGGGTCACTTTAGTACCTATTGGATACCTTTACTAATATTTGAGAAGAGACCAACGCTTTTCTTTATAGTAATTTAAATAGTAGTGTATAATTTATTTTCTACTTTTTAGTGCATCATTACATAAAAGCTTGTTATTAAAACGTTTTTATGAATTTTTTTTCAGTACTTTACATGTTTTATTTACAATAGTGTTACATGACTAAAAACCATTTCGCGCCTACTGAACGTGATGGCGCAGCTATTGAACGTGATGATGCGTGTGGTGTGGTTGGATAGACATGCCTACTAATTCGGTCCAAATTTTAATTAATTCATAAAAAATTAATTAGGCAACCAATTAAGTCAAATTTAATTTCAGATTGCATTGTCTTCATGTCTTGACCCACGTGCCAAATGTGAATCGTATCGGTCAAGTAGAACTGTCCGAATTTTCACTCCGGCGTTTCGATCTAGACAGACAGACTGACGACTGACGAGGAAGTGAGTTAAATAAAAGCTTGTAAAAAACAAGCTTTTATGTAATAATGCACTTAAAAGTAGAAAATAAATTATACACTACTATTTAAATTACTATAAAGACCCACTCACCCGACCCACTCATCCGACCTACCTACCAGACCCACTCTCACTCTCCCGACCCACCTAACAGACCCACTCACCCGACCCACCTACCCGACCCACTCACCCGACCCTCCTAACAGACCCGCTCACCCGACCCACCCACCCGACCCACCTACCCGACCCACCTACCCGACCCACTCTCACTCTCACTCTCCCGACCCACCCACCAGATCCACCCGACCCACACACCCGACCCACCTACCAGACTCACAAACCCGACCCACTCATCCGACCCACCCACCCGACCCACTCTCCCGACCCACCTACCCGACCCACTCACCCGACCCACCTACCCTACCCACCTACCCGACCCCACTCTCACTCTCCCGACCCACCCACCAGACCCACTCGACTCACACACCCGACCGACATACCAGACCCACCTACCTGACTCCACTCACCCGACCCACCCACCAGACTCACTCTCTCGACCCACCTACCAGACCCACTCTCTCGACCCACCTATCCGACCCACACACCAGACCCACTCTCTCGACCCACCTACCAGACCCACTCGCTCTGCCCACCTACCCGACCCACCCACCAGACCCACCTGCCAACCCACTCACCCGACCCACCTATCCGACCCACTCACCCCACAAGGTCTGCAAATCTGACACACCAATCCAACTCACTAGTTTGACCCCACCCCTTTGACCAGAGGCGTAGCGATGGGAGGACGGGGTGTGGTAAAAACACCAATCTGAGGTGCATGACTGAACTATTTACAATCGAAGTTAAGGAACTCTATAGACTGCCAGAGTTTCTTCCAGGCATCTCTTCGGGGGGGGGGGGCGAACGAAAAAAATTTACCGCCCCCCCCCCCCCCCCCCCCGAACGAAATGAAATTTATATAATTTATATAGAAAATATATACTTTCAACAGTGTCCGCCCCCGAAGAAAGGTCTACCGCCCCCCGAAAATTTCAAGTGCCCCCCCCCCCCCGGAGAAAAAAGTGTGGAAGAAACTCTGTAGACTGCTAGTTGGCTTTAAGGACTTCGTTATCGATTGCTTGACACGAAAATAAAAACTGTGACAGGGTAGTGGCTGATATGGGAGGTGCGCTTTTTCGGTACCTTGAATACATTTATATAAACAGGGAGGGGTGGTGGGGAAAGTTAAGTGGGGGGGGGGGCAAAAAATTGATCATCTCACCCCGGCGTCGGAATGGGTTGTTACGCCTCCTGATAAGGGGTCATCCATAAATGACGTCACACTCGTAGGGGGGAGGGGGGTCCGTAATTTTGTGACGATGTGTGATGAGGGGGAGGGGGGGGGGGGGTTCAGATGTTTGGTCGTTACACTTATGCATTATAAAAAAAGCAATTTTAGAAAACGAAATTTTAGACGTTATTTCGCGTTTTAGATAACTGTTTTAATATATTGTAATAGTTTAGACAAGATTTTAGAAAAAATATCGATGTTTAAAAAAAATTCAACTGCAATTTTTAGGGGGGGGGGAGGGTTGTAGGTTGAGGTGTGACGTCATTTTAGGGGGGGTCTCTGGCTTTTTGTGACGACGTGTGACGGAGGGGAGGGGGGGGGGAGGTAAAAATTCGTCAAAAAAAAGCATGACGTCATTTATGGATGACCCCTAAGGCTGGTTTGCTAGGGATAGCAACCCAGCTAAGATGAAAACTCGAAAAAATCAAAACTACTGCTGGCTTGCGTATTGTTCATGTGTAATGTGTGGACAAGGGTGACGGAATGCAAATTAAAAATGATGAGTCAACGGACTATTTCGCGCATAAGATGCTGACACGTGTTACTTAATTATGTTCAAGGAAGTGCCAAACCTTATTGGAATTTAGGAGAGAGAAGTAGATCGGTGAAGTAAAGCAGTCTTATCAAAAACTAATATTTTTATTTCGAATAGAAAGCTATTGAAAACATTAGAAGGTTTTAGTAAATGATGATAAGAAGAGATTTCTAAGATAAGCAAACCAATCTGTAAAATATTTTACAGTGTTCGTATAAAGTTTAAGTTAAGACTTTAAATAGAATTTTGATAAAATGTTTATTAATGTATAATAATGTTTTACAATAAATTATTCATAATAACTGAAAAAATAATATTCTTGATATAGCAAGTTACTTAATCATAGTTTTTTTTTTTGCAGATATTAGAAATATAATTATAGGTTGTTTCCCTTAGCCTTGAAATTTAATTTTTTCTTTACCTTCAATGGAGGCAATTTGAAGGCTAATTACTTACGCTATCCCTAAAATATCCAGAGCATGTGTTGTTGCTAAAGTGTATTACTCAAAAATGAATAACAGGTTTATGAAATAGTTTTAGTAATTCTAGTTCAGGATACTATACCGTAGGACCTAATTCCACCCAGCCCTGACACAACGTAAAGATAGCAGGGCTTAAAGCTGACCTCACAATGTTTTCATACCATGAAATCACTCACGTCAGATACCAGCGTGTTTCCTTGTTTACATGGCCTAGTGCTCTCGCTCACAACAAACACATCCGTTTCGCCAAGTGTGTACTGCATGATGTCATTTCCGTCCGTGAAAAACTGAAATAATGGTATATCTTAGTGTATAATAAAATATATTTAAAAAAATAATTAAACAAGAAATAATTTTGTATACATGTCTTTA